CAATGATCGAAGGAAATTTTTCTTGTCTGCCATCCGTGAATTTGTCTGACTGACATACATATGTTAATATTTCATCAAAATTATATCACACATAAAATCCTGATTTCATTAACATTGAAATAACATATTTTACTAAAATTTTCAATGTATCAATTGTCTAGGTTTCTGTGTTAAGTTTAATTGACACTCAAAATATTTTCCATAAAATAATCTACATAAGGTAGTATAACAAATGATGCAGTGGATAATTTGTCAGATTTCAAATAAAAGTTCATAAAATATAAGTCAAATATTCAAAATCAAAAATCTTTAACTAGAAATTATTAAGATTTCTTGCCCTAAGGTTATCACAGAAATGGAAAATTTTTATCTACCAGTTTTTTTTTGATATATTGAAAATGGGGTTTATATTGTATGTTCTGAAATGTACAATGAATATTTTCAAAAGAAAAAATGTCACTTAGATGTGATGATAAACTCTAGGACCTAAGAATGCTGGAAAACATTCAGATTAAAAGTCACACTGTCTGTGCACATGATAGGTACACATTGTAGGAATGCTCCTTTGGTAATGCCAGTGACTGCAATAATGTACTTACCTTAAGTTGTGACTTTCAGTGAACTCCCCCAGAATTCTGTTCTCAGATGTATTCTGCACTCTTTTTGCAATTGTGTCCATAGAAGGGTGGCAAATAGCATACTGTGCATATCTTTTCTGCTCAATATTCTAATTAGGCACCTTTGCAAAACACAAGTTCAAAGATAAAATGCATTAAGAGAAACACATAACAAAAATACAGAAGACAAGGTGGGGGAGAAGATATATACAATTACAGTGTAACAAAGTTCTGATATTTGTGGAATGTGGTATATTTACAGGAAATACAAAATATTGTGTGTAAAATATGAAACTCTGAGCTCCAGCTCCAGAATGTTGATATTAAGAGTAAAATAGGAGAATTGTGAAATAGGAACATAGATCATTCTTAAATATATATTAAGTGACTATAAATTGATGAATATAATTTAAGGGTGCATATCACTAATTTTGGAATAACTATAACAAAACAATATGTATATATAGCTAATCAGCCTTTAGAAGAATAGAAGAAAAAAATTAAACATATCTGACTAAATATAATGAAAATAGGAAAAAGAGAGATAAAATATATAAAGGAAAATAGAATTAGAGAAATATAGTAGCTGAAAACACATATCAATAGCTACAATAAATATAAATGGAATAAACATACCAATAACAAATCAGAGATTGTTAGCCTGGATAAAAAACAAACTCAACAATATGATACACATAAGAGATAGAATGAAATAAAAAGACATAGATAATCAGAAGTAAAAGTATGCAAATGGGTCAAATAGATAAAAGAACCTAATAAAATTACTCTAACTTCAATAATAACAATAAGGTAGAATTAAAGACAACATATTATGACAGGTTAAAAAAAATCATAAAGAGAAAAGAGTTGATTTATCAGGGTCATAACAATCCTAAATGTGTATGTACATAATAAGAGAGCTTCACAATATATATAGCAAGAATTAACATAATTAATGAAAAAATAAATATAATTGGAGATTTAACACCTGTCTTTCAATGATAGAATATGTTACACATCAATAAGGACACAGAACATAGTTGACATTTATAGAACACTACATGCAAAGATTGCCAAAAATACATTCTTTACAAATACATTGGGAATAGTCATTGACATAAGCCATATGCTGGAATGTAAAACAAGGCTCAATAATTTTCATAAGTTTGAAATCTTATAGACTACATTCTCTTAATAACAGTGGAATAAAATTAAAAGTCAATAACTATAAGCAATTTAGAAAATGACCAAATATTCAAAAGCTACACAAAACAATTCTAGACAAATAGTAAAATGGTATAAAAAAATAATTCACAGAAAGGAGAGTTTATAAAAATATTTCCCATGCTAATTAAAACACATTACAAAATTTATGGTATAACACTAAGGTAGTCTATAGAAATATTTTTTAAGCTTTATATGCTTATATTATTAAAGAATAAAAGTTAAAATAAATTATCTATACTATTAAAGATAAAAGTTAAAATAAATTATAATAAATTCCACCTTGAGGGCACAGAAAAATCAGACAAGAAAGCAGAAAAAAGAAACTATAAAGCTAAGAACAGAAATCAATGAAATAGAAAACAAAGATGTGAACAAAATTAAAAGTTGATTTTCTGTAAAGATCTCACAGAAATAGTAAGAAGCATATGTATTTTATCTAGTAAGCAACCAATTCTAGCTTTTGAGAGAGCCAAGTTGAATAATACAATTTTTAAAATTTAAAGTAAAGGACCACCGAACTAAAGTAAGTCAATATTACATTTATTAAGATAGTCAATGAATATCATATGTTTGTACAAAATCAATTTCTACAAACGATTCAAATTTGCCCTCTTAAATTTTAAACCAAATTTATATTCATCAACTTTGTTGGTGTATTTAATTATTAGGTTTTAATCAATAGTTAAACTGACAACAATTTAGCTAAGTAATATGTCTGTATACATAGTAAAATAATAAATATATTCATAACACACACAGGTGTTTTAATTTTCCATGAAGTCATTTTTTTAAAAGATTTTATTTATTTATTCACATAGAAATGGGGTACAGGCCAGAGATGCAGAGGGTGAGAGGATTCACCAAAGACAGAGCCAGGAGCAGAACAGTCAGATAAAGTACACTGCTGAGGGGAGCAGCGGGCGGGTCAGGAGAGGTCTGACACGCCATGTGGATCTTCTCCGGGGCAGGCGGGGATCGAACTCATGGGGAAGTGACTTTAGCTTCTTAGTGCTGTGCTTTAACCCGCTGAGCCACCAGGGAGGGCCCTGAAGTCATTTATCTTATTCAATATCCCTAAGATTTATTTTATTTGGTATATGACTAGTCTGTTCCTGATAATTTTTCTTACACATTTCTTCCCATGAGGAAACTTCAACTTAAATAAGTTCCACATACTGGAGCAAAAGATTAGCTAAAAAATTAACAGAGGCATGCTTAACATGTGCCTTTCCTCCTCTTCTCATGGTGGAAATATTCATAGTCAATAGGAAACATTCCTTTTTAGAAATTATTTTGAAAGACACTTCCAATATTACTTTACCCATTGCATGGATCAGTAAACTTCTTGAAGAATAACTCAGCAGGAAAAGCTATCTGATAAGGGTATGTTCAAGATAAAGTCTTCAAAGGCATAGACATATTCTGGTCTAATCTAATTTCCTCAGTGTAGCTAAATTATTAAATTATTTTTATGTATGTGTAATAAAGCATTTTTACTGGATGTTTTATTAAATAGCAAGGTGTGGAGTTCCAGAAAGTTGAATGTATGTTTCAAACATCTGGAGCTATACATATGGGGAATATACAGCTGTGTTTATTTCAATGATTACACATTTACATGCATACAATACATTTATTTAAATGCATAATCTCTTCTATATGTGAAAATATTCAAACAAATATATTTTTGTGCTTATTTGAATATGTAATTGAAAGGGATTCAAAGAAATAATTCACTACTTTATTTAAATCTTCAAGCATTTATTTATATAATATACTTATTAATATAAAATTATAGTGCTTTATTTTTATTCCAAAGTCCAAATACTTTCAAAGATTAAAAAAACTGTGGGGCTCCTAGTCATATAAATCAGGAGATTTTCATAGAGTTATACAGAGTAAGGAAGTTTACAGGAAAACATGGAAATTCAGCAGGATAAGAAAATTAAATTATTTGCAGTTGAAATATTCCCTTCAGAACAACAGTTCTATCATATCATTGTGGACATATTCATTGAATATCAAAGGTATTGCTTTTTGTTTTTTATATTGACATGATGGCATAATATAACATTTTATTTTTCACTATTTTAAAGCCACACGCAAATCCAGTTAAGAATTCTAAGATGTCATTTAACTCTACCCCCTTGTCTTTTTTTCAGGGAAAGGCAATGGAGACTAGCAAATGATTTCTGAGAATCAAAATGAAATTACATTTTGTACTTTTTTCCTTGCCCTCATATCTTTGGAGATTTCAGAACACCTTTTAGTTAGCCTATTTATACTTAGTTCTTGCACTTGCTATTTCTTTTCCCAAGGGTTTTGTTTGTTTGTTTGTTTGAGAGCTATTTTGGGCTGGCTTAGTGGAAAATGACTGACGCTAGAGCAAAAGAAAAATTAAACTTGAAGTCGCATAATTTGGGGGAATAACTTTGAATTCAGTTTACCACAGTATGAAATGACTGCAGACACATTTGTTGCATGATTGAATAAAAGTAACCACAGTTACCTTTTTGTTTAAACTGCTTTGTTGTTTTGAACAACAGTTTTTGTTGTTCAAAGACTAAATAACATCTCTCATTGGATGTTGTGAGGATTACACTAGTATAAACTAAAAAATCATTAAATTGTCCAATGTTTTCCAAATAACTAACAACTTAAAGTTTCATTCCCAATTTTTAGTTGGATGAATACCTCCAAGCCATAATTGTTAGTCATGTTTTTCTAGGGTGATTAATCAGTTAAACATTAAAATGCTTTTTTTTTGTAGTGGACTTAATGCACTACAGTGTTTTCAGAGACAGTTATCATTACTTCTAGGGATGCTTCCAGAAGTGTAGATGGAAGAGTGTGTGTTTATGCTAGGTGGGAAGGATTCACTAATTAAAAGAATATATTTTTATGATTTATATGAATAAAAAAAACCTTTCACATTTATATTTTCAACTTCTGCAATCACTTTGTGAGACTCGTATCAGAACCTGGGATTCTCCTCAATCGGAAGGAAGGCAGCCAGGCTGGTGCATTTGCTTCCAGGACCAACGCAACAGCGGGAGAACGACTGACCAATCAGAGCGCAGGTTGAGAAATGGTCCCACCCCTAGCTAGCAAGCCCCGCCTCTTTCCCCTCTCGCCGTCCAGGAGAAGGGGCTGAGCAGTTGGCTCGTCCCGCCCCTGCTTCTGAGTGACAGGACCGTGGACAGCAACATTTCGAACCGGACCTGAAGTTTGTGGGCTCCTGCCTTGGCTGAGCTGAGGTGTGTGTGTGTCCCGCGTGGGCGTGGAGGCTGGGGAGGCTCTGCCCGGGAGGCTCTGGACCTGGGACTGAAAGCGGGAGCCCCCCTTAGCCAGTCCCAAAGCGTTTAGGAGAGGATCGTCCCGCCCCTGGGAGCAGCGCTAGAGCGGGCTGGGCAGAGTGAGCCTGTGGAAAAGAACCCAAGAAACCCAGTAGTTAAGGCAGAAGACTTAAGGACCCCCCGCCCGACGAGCAGGTGCTCGCGGTGGGGGCTGGGGATGGTGAGTGGGTTCGGGCCGTGGGTGGGTGTGGCTGCCGCGTTGGTAGGAACTCGCGGTTCCCGCCCTGCCAGCGTGTCTGGCGCCAGCGGCTGGGCCCTAGACCTTAGCCCCGCCCACCGCCCCAAGTTCTTTTACTTGACTAACGATTGGCTCCCTTTTGCTGTCAATTATCTCTCGTCCCTTCATTTCACTTTCCAGCAGTCTAGTTTCAGTAGTATCCGCTGAGGTCTGCCTGGCCTATGCTACTGTCCTGCCTCTCTTTAAAGAGCAGGTGTCTGTAGACCAAAACATTTGCAGTGAAGAAGAGACAGCATGCGCATGTTGTGTTTGTGTCGGTTGGGGTGTCTTTTCTCCTGCTTGGTAAATCCCTGAACCCACAAAGTGTTTTGTGTCCACGTGGATGACTAGGAAAAGGATACAGGAGATCCGGTTTCTTCTACCTGGAATAATTTTTCTCACTGCAACCTGTTTGCGCTCAAAGAGCTGATGGATTTGAAGCAATCAGTGGATAAGCGCCAATATATGGTCTTCCATTAAACCCCTCCTGTGGAGAGGAGTGATAACTGATCTAATAAAATACCCCCTTTAAAAATTCGCTTTATTAGGTTCATATTTAATGATTACCTTTAACATAGTAAACAAGGATAACCATTTCAAATCTCTTTGTTCCTATTAGCTGACTCCCTATTATTCAGCAGAACAAACTGTTCCAGAGAAAAAACATAAAGGACTAAAAGTTTGCTTTTACTTCCTTCTGTTAGGCTTACTGTATAAATCCTTAGCAGGGAAGATTGTGCTGCTTGTTAGCACTAGAAGAACCTTGGCCTACAAGTCAGGAAACTGGCAGGTTTAGGAAGTGTTTGTCCCCAGGCAATAACCTTCATAATTGTTTTCTTATTTGTAAAATGGCAATAATTATGTGCCCTTTATTCCTAAAAAGTAATACCAAATAATTGATTGCAAATGTATTAATGATTTACACAGATGTAAAGTGTTGATTACACATTTAACCTGTTTTTATCTACATGATTTAAATTTGTAGATGTATTCAGTTTAATGTATTTTCAAATTTTCTTTTGATTGTTTAGAACTGGGTAACACTCTCACTCACCTGTTACCCATTCTTTGTTTTGATTAGGTGGCATCAGAAATATCTTTGCATGACACTTTTCTCCCTTTATATCACAATTTTATTTCAAGTGTGTATATCTCCTAAAGTTACTGAAAACGATCACCTTCTAATAATAGGTAACATAACTGATTAATAACATCTTTGCTGTCACATACCACTTTGAGAAGCCAAGGAAATCTATTGGCTCACTTATATAAAAGATATAATTTCAAGCATAAGAAGAGCCTGAACTAAGTGCAATTATTTCAGTCAAGTTTTTGTGGGTTAAAGAAATATTCTTCTTCTTGATGCACCAAAAAGAGTAACTGAGTAATTTACATGCAAAGCTTCATAACTGATAGCAGAGTTAGATCCTTTTCTTCTCTGTCACTATTGCTTACCATAGGTTAGTGTGTTCAACCAGTCTTTACTTAGCATTTAACAAGTAGAAACTACCAATGTTCAATAAATTGTTGTTATCTTTCAAAACCATACAGGCTGTATTTTATTTCAAGTGCACCTTGATAATTCTCTTAAAGCACTTTGTTATATTTAGGCAAGTGAAAAGAGAAACCATTTTCATATTTTTTGGGGAAAATATTAATTGTCATTCTGAGGTAAATATTAAGTACAAAACTTTTTTTACAGTCAAAATGCATTTTAGGCAAAGAAAAAGTTCATTACATTTAATATATGTCACTGGGATATCACTACCTGATTCCTAGAACTCTCCATGTAAGTGAATAATCTTTTATAATATTTTGATTTGCTGTGGCTAAAAACTATTGTTGTTGGATCCACAGTAGCTTTTCTCCAGTTTTCTGTATTCAAATAGATAGGTGTAAGTAGTTACTTGGTTTGCTCCAGTTTTTTTAAATTTAGCTTTACCAGTGAAAGTGGCATGTATAGTAGATATGCATAGCATATATCAGATATATCAAGCAAGCAGGTACTGAACCCAAACAAACAAGTAGGAACTAAAGCCAAGCAATCAAGGTTCAAGAGAGCCATTAGAGTGAATTCAAGAAATAGGAGCGAGCCCTCCTGGTGGCACAGTGGGTTAAAGCACAGCACTAAGAAGCTATAAGCTACTTCAGCATGAGTTCGATCCCCACTGCAGAGGTGACCCACAATGCTAGGCAGACCTCTCCTGACCTGCCTATCACTCCCCTCAACAGTGTACTTGTCAGTTGTCCTGTTCTGCTCCCCACTCTGTCACCGGTGAATCCTCTCACCACCCCTGCACTTCTGGCCTGTATCCCAGTTCTCTATGCAAAAATAAATAAATCTTACAAGAAAATTTATCACCCAAGCTGAATCCATTGCAAGGCTAAGATAGTAAGAACCATAATCTCTTGAGACCTGTATTTTGTCCCCTACTAAAGTGCTGACCTTGGAAATTAAATTTAAAGAATTTCCTACAATGTTCTTTTCTATCTGAAAGCAACTGTTAGCACAAAACTAAAGGGAAGTCAGTATTCAGTAAATACTGGACAAAAATGTATACCTCATGTACTACTTGATTATTTTCCTTGTTGCTTTTTTATTGGGCATTTAGTTTAGAAAGTGTTATATATTCTTAAAAGTTTATGATAAACACAATTATTTTTATTGGTCAACTCTGTACAAATTGTAGTAACAGAAAATAAATTCAGATAATTCATTTTACATTCATATTTGACTTTCAAGTAAAATGGAAGCATCTCTCAGTACTTTCAGACAATCACTATAATCACCATTCCAAAAGTCTGATCTGCAAAAATAATGTTGCTGTTTATTAGTATGTAAAGGGGGTCTCTACTTAAATAAATTTGGAACATATGTATCAAATAAATTTAGATAGGCTTTTCTATTTAAGTAGTCCTTTAATGAGAATGCACCTTATGAAAACAGGACATAGAATGCAACATTTTGCAAGTATTTTGGTTATAGAAACTTAGTTTGAACCTATTACAGAGTTAGCAAATAAATAAACACTTTTTGGAAAATGCTACCACAGTGACTTTATTTTGTGGACAGTTAGGGACCTAGCGCTCATTCATAGTGTTTTCATATACTCTATTTTTAATTCCAGTAAGAAAAATCAAGACTATTATCTTAGTACCTGGCACTGACTTTGCCAAGAATGCAAGCAAAGCTTCCTCAGTAAAAGATCTTGCCTCTGGAAACATCTTAACCCTTGGCACCCTTCCAGAATCCAGACTTGGCAGCATCCAGGACACAACACAAGGTGTGTTTATTTGATTAATGTTTGGTGAAAGGTGTTTTTTGATTTGTGGTTTGTTTCATTCATTTACTTTCTTGTTTTGGTTTGCTTCTGGAAGTGAGCTTGGGTTTGGAATGTTAGGTTCTTTCTTATGGAATGGGAAGTGTTTTCATTTGAATTTATTTTGAGGTACTTGGTTAATCCAAGTAAATGAAGCAAGACTCATAGAACTGTAAGCCTATGGCTGATTTATTTGCTAAATTATTTCATATTATTGTCTGTTAGGATTTGCTGCTGCATTTGTTATTTCGTCTCTTGATGTCTGAGACACTATGCTATTTTGGTACATTATTTTGGTAAATGTATATTGGCTATAATCAATGTTGTTATAATAGGTTAAGAACATCATAAAATGCTATTCAAAATTATTTTAAATCTTTCTTAATTTATACATCTATGTTTTCAGGGAGAGGTCATCTGCCTAAAATGAAAGAATTTAGTCCCCAGTTATATCTGACCTTTTCTTGAACTGTCTTATTCACCCATCACTCTACTCAGAATTTTTCAATGACTCCCTGTTTCACTCAAGATAAAAGCTAGACCGCTTTAACTGGCATGTATGTCTCTGCGAGAGGTGGCCCCTTGTCATCTCTCTAATCTTATCTCTATGCATTCATTTACTCAGTCATACTGACTCCTTTACTATTCTTTAAACATCTCAAGGTTTTTATACTATTCTCTCTACTGATTTCCTATAACCCTATATTTCTACATATATATTTTTTCTTTGGGTCTTTGTTAAAGTTTCTCTTCTATATGAGTCCTTCCTGGTTATCCTCAGAACATCTTTGCTCTATATTTTCTACATAGCATTAATCACTGTCTAATAAAATTATGTTTTAGACTTGTCTTATTGCCATTATACTTCATACTTCATAAGAGGATTAGTTCCTATTAAGCAGAGATTTTACTTACTTTATTTTTACTCTCTATTTCCTGTAACTAGAGTGGTCTTTGTCTCTTGAAAAGTTAATGAGTGAATGAGTACTTATTTAGCAAACATTTTTAAAGCATTCACATATTTAAGGTGGTGCGGACACAGAGGTGAACTATACGGCTCCTGCCCTCAAAAAGTATTGTTTTAAGAGAGATGGATAATTACAGCAGCAGTATCACTAGTGCAGTTTTATGATAACAGTATAACTAGTGCACTGTTATTTGGAGAAGCCACATTCAAATCAGACTTTGTTGAGCTCTTGAAAGTCTTGAACAAGGTAACCTTTTGTATCAATAAGAATAGCTTACCTTGTGTTGGGAACAAACCAGCCCAAATCTTAATGTTTTAGTAACCAAATATATTTTCTCACACATACTGCATGTCAAAAATGGACTGGTAGGAAAACTCAGGCCAGGGGCCTAAGACATCAAAAGTTTCTTTTGATACGATATGCTTGCAGTGGAAGGAGAGTCAACAATTATGTCCTGGCATTTAGAGTTTCATGAATGAAAGTAAGTTTCTCAGTATCTCATGGGGACTATAAGATGTATTACTGTCTTTTCCTAGAGAGAAAGGGGAATCAGAAAATATGTCAATAGAACTAATATCTGCCATACTTTTCTACCATTTTAGAGGAGTATAAGATAACCGGCTAAGGCAGAACTTGAAAGCATTTTCAGGGAAAGAAATAGCATGGGCCAAGACAACAAGCTGTTATATATTATGATAATTTCAGGGAACTGTATGTATTTCAAGAGTAGTTGGAACATACCATGGTATGTGTGAGGGATAAAGAAATACAAAGAGACTTGGAGAAGAGATAGAGGTTAGATAATACCAAATTACAGAATTAAAACTCTATGTTAAAGGATATCGAATGGTGTAGTTCAGGAGGCTTTCTTGATTATATTTAATATGTGAAAGAGTGTTCTTAAAGAAGTGTGGGGATAGGCTTGAGGGAAGACCAGAGACAGTAAAGCTGTTTATGATTTGAAATGCAGAAATGCCTGTGTGACCCCCATATGAAAACAATGAAGGTAAAGGTAGAGAAAGGATATAGGGACATGGGCTCCAGAGTATGAATGTAGCCTTGGCAGGGAACAGGACACGTCTTATACTAAAATCAAAATAGAGGTACATTTACATGGTAAGCACTGAGCCACTGAGCCTATGTACTGTTTGTTTCTGAGCATGTATGTGTTTAAGAAAGTGAGTGTTATCCATCCTTTCATTTGTCTGTATATCTATCATATTTGTGTCTTGGGAAACAAATTCATGTGCTTGACTTAAGTTTGCTAGGAGGACTTCACACGAGACTAGACTACATTTTGGAATGGCAGTTGAATCAAATGGGAAATATGGCCAACTTGGGGCAGCGAGGAAAGATGCTGTAAAAGTTTTACAGGAAAGTTGCTGTAAAAGTTGCTTTGGAAAAAACAGTTGTTTTTTATTTAGAGTTCAGTAATAAATTGAAAATACATATTTTAACAAAAAATTTTTATATATGCCATTCCCACTGGAGAGATTCATGAGATAGCATCTAGTTTTGGCTCCAAATTTTGTTTAATATGATTTAAAAAAAAAAAGACTCAGTCATTTTATAAGAGGAAAAAAATTTGAAACTAGTAAGTTAGTTATCCAGTGCTCATAGAAAAAAAAATTCCATGATAGACTTTTAAATAATGTAAGTGTAAAGTATAGTGAAGTTTAATTTAAAAAAATAGAGAAGTGGTTGAGATACTTTCAGTATTTTTAAAAATATTTTTGGAATACATTGTTTGCAGTGTATTGTAATTATAGGAGATTTTTGTTTGTCATTGTGTCTTAGATCCAAGATTTTAAAAAACATTTAAGAAGCTAAATTATGATTGCAAATTAAAATTTTGAGGGCTCAATGACAGAACGTTTTAGCTACTGCCAGACTCCTAATCTAGTAGAAGTGGGCCCATTGATGTTCATCATGCATGTGGTAGGTGAGAAATCGCGACATATGGACTTAGTAGAAATAACGTCAAGAGCTTACTACCTCTGAGGAGAGAAAAAAGAAGTAATAGAATTTTTGACCTAAGAAGATTCTTAGGAGGGAAATTTGGGACATTAGACAAAGATCTGGTGTCAGTTTGAAAATAGGTGTTAGTGGCTATGGTTTATTGTTGTTAAGTCTTCCATTTAAATCAGTAGATATATTTGACACTGATTATGTATCAATATACATATAAAGTATACATGTATGCGATACTCTGCTAAACCAGAATTTCTAGTACTTACAGAGAGTAAAATATACATGTTATTTGGCATCTTGCATGTTACCCAAAGATACTTTTGTTAAAGTCACTTAGCTGATGATGATTGAAGATGATTAATAGAATAGCGGAAGCTGTACAATTAATGTATAATTAAGTTGTTACAGTCTTAGTATATTAAGACACCATTCTTATATCTAAATATAAGATATAATATTCTTATATCTTAAATATAAGAGAGCTCAATGGTTTTTTTAAATAGTACAGTACAGGGTCACCAGGTTTTTTTTGTTTTTTTTTTTTGGTCTATACAAAGCTAGTTGCACTATATATGGTGCTTCACCAGTGAGAAACTGATTAAGTAAGCATGATATTATGATATTGATAACAGTTATTGAGCACAAGAAGTTCCATGTTAAGTACTTTATATTAATTAGCTATTTAATTGTATCTTTATGTTATGGGACAGAAGTTATTAACTATTTTTAACATGGTAAATGAGCTTAGCTTGGTCAAGAACTAAAAAAGTGATAGAACCAGAAAGGAAATAATTTAAACTAGGGAAGAGTTAACCTACTCTTTATAAAACTCATGTTTATATAAAAGAGCATGCTTATAGTATTACTCTGAAGTTCAAAGCATCTTAAGTTTATAATAACTAAGTATAAAATGTGGATGTTTTACATGTTCAAAAGTGTCTACTCGCTTCACATTTACTCAAATAGTTTGGATTGTTCATTGTATAAAACAAAAATCCATGCCCTTGTGATACTGCATTCTAGTGGAGGCAATCAGAAAATAAACAGAAGAGTAAATTTAATGGTTAAAAAGAACATTTTAATTTTGAAATAATAGTTGTTAGGATGAAGGCAAAATGACTTTTCTGTTGCAATCCTTCTAATCTAATTGTTCATAACATTTTGTAGTGCTTACATCAAATCATGAAACGAATGAAATATCGATTGCTATAAAATGGTTATTCATTTTAAATAATTAATTTGAGAGTAAATATTATTGACCATTACTTTGAAGACAGCTCTCCCACTCTGCTGCCCTACTTACACACTGAAGATGCAGCATTCCAAGAAAGCAATTAAATGTCATTTATCATTTGTAAAAGAACTTTGTTTTCTTTAATTACAGACCTAGGTGGTCCATAACTACAACAGAATGAAAGTAAATTAAAAATCCTTAGGACATATTTTTCCTGTAAGGGCATATTTAAGTGTAGTCTCAGCACCTTAAAATAACTACAAATGCTTGTGATTAAAGATTCAATTTTGGTCTTTTTGTTTGTAGTATGTAGGTGTATATGTATCTGTGAGAGAGAAAAGGAGGAAGGGAGAGAATGAAAATGAGAATGGGAATGAATTGGCAGGGTCTTTTCAGCTGCTGTTTCTATCAGTAGTGTGTGTGTGTATATTATATCTTTACATATATGTATGTGTGTATACTTATTTATTTAAAATAGAGGATGCCATAGTTCTCTGTCTTGTATTTCTTCTGCTTTCTCTCTAGTGATCTCAGTATTACTATACTGGATTTCCTTTTAGTAGGTGTCTCTGGTATACCACTGAACCACTCTCTTTGGGGACTATCTTGCATTAATTTTTTTCTACTGAATTCTTTAAAGAGTTAAGTAATGGATATGGTTTATGAACTTCATTTCTGGACTAGTAATGATGTGGCACAGTGAAAAATTGAAATGTTCAATTACAGTGTCATCAAAAAAAAAAAAAAGAAAGAAAAATAATTAAGGGTAAAAGAAGCTTAGTCTTAAGATA